ATAATAGAAACGGGATCAAATGGAATGGAACAATAAATAAAAGCAAACATTCAAAGTTACAAGAGTCAATGAAAAAGATAACAAAGAAAGACAAGTTAAAGTAAAAGCCAATAAAATTTTCCCAATCTTTTAATAGCCAATTTGATGTAGCTTCATGTCCTCCTAAGTAGCATTTATCCACATATCTAAAGCTATGGTAGCCCTCCATGCATTAGCATTTTCTCGTTGCTGCTCTTGGGTTTGAACAATAGGTTCCAAATTATCTTCTTCATTAACTGGTAATACTGAAGATGAAGATTCGTCTGTTGGTTCAATTGGAAATTCATCAGAACGACACTCTTTGCGAAGAAAGTTATGTAGTGCTACACATGCTAACACAAGCTCTGCTTGTGTCTTAAATGGAAATGGAGGCGCTGACTTAAAAATTGTGAATCGAGATTTAAAAATGCCAAATATCCTCTCGATCACATTCCTCAATGACGCATGGCGAAGATTGAACAATTCATTTTCATTTTGAGGGTCATTACCATGACCTGCAAAATCTTGGAGATGATATCGCACACCTCGAAATGGAGCTAAAAATTGGCGCCGATTAGGAAACCCACAATCCACTAGAAAATATTTACCTAATTATATATACAATACATATAAAATTAGTATGAAAAGTTAAAATACAAAAAAAACATATTTATCATTTAAAAATTAAGTACTTACCTTGGGCCACTTTAAGTCCATTCCTCCTTGATAAAGCATCATTTAGTAGCTTTGAATCATGAGCTGAACCCTCCCACCCGCTAAGAACGTACATGAATTCCAAATCAAAGTTACAAGCTGCTAATACATTTTGTGATATCTTTCCATGACGATTACGATAACTGCTTACATCTCGCCCCCTCACCATTGCCGGAATATGTGTACCATCAATAGCTCCGATGCAATCCTAAAATTATTCATATATCACAATAACCATATTATGAAAAATACATATTATAATAACAATATTATTATAATTCGATAATTATTACATACCTTGAAATAAGGGTAAAACCTTGTGCTTTCCCTTATTTTAGCGGGCACAGCCGGTCCTGGTTTAGCCATCAAATCAGATGCTATTGAATTCAAGGCCTTCAAAATCTTGTGAAAATTTTCACTAGCAGCGAATTGTGATCGGCCCAATGTATTACCCATTAGCATCACTCAATCCACTATTGATAGCATCCACCAAGAGGTGCAACAACTCATTGGTATCGTCCATGGTCCAAGATTCATAGTTCTCTTTCTCTTTGCCCTTTCCTTTGTTATTTCCTTGTTGTGAATCCCCCATTAAATTACTACTACAACATATGTAAGAAATTTATTAGTTAATGAAAACTGATTTACCACAGACAATAATAATGCTGAATGAAAAAGGAAATCTCCTTAATGAAACCCAACAACAATAATAATGCAAAACCCGTGCTTCAAGACCCAGTCAGTTCTCTCTCTCTCCATACAATACAAACATGAAGGTTTTCTTTTTTGGGTTTGATTTCAGTTCTCTCTCTCCATACAATTCAAAACTTAATAATAATTTCTTCAAGACGACACCAATATATAAACAATTCCTATCAGCATGGTACAAGACAAACCATATATAAACAATAGAGAAAAGTACAAGACAATCAGCATGGTTACGAAGTCAACAAACCATATATAAACAATAGAGAAAAGTACAAGCCGATGGTATGAATACGAAAAAGGCACAGACCATAAATCGAAACAATAGACACAGACCATAAAAATCGAAAAAGGCACAGCACGAAAAAGGCACAGACCATAAATCGAAACAATAGACACAGACAATTAACACAAGAAGACATAGCACGATAAGGAAGCAATACCTTGTTGAAGAGCTGTTTATCTTCACGAAGAGCTGTTCGTCTTCTCTAGCAGACAAAAAAAAATCCAACGTAAAAAGTCTGATGGGTTAGGGTGGGATTTTTTTATAGGGTTTGGTATTTATACCTCCCACTAAAAAGTCACACCAATTCCCTATTTAAAAAAAATCCTTCGAAATTAGCAAGTTTTTGAATACCAAAAGACTTTTTGTTACTTGTTTAAAGTCTTGATTGAATACCACTAGATTTGGACACCCTCTTTAAAAAATCCTAATAGTCCTGATTGAATACCATAAGACTTGTTTAGATTATTTAAAAGTCTTAATTGAATACCACAAGACTTATTTATCCCAAAATAGTCTTTTAAAATCCTAATTGAATACACCCCCTAACTTACTCATATCAATTCAATCAACCCATTAACCACTGTTAACAACAACAGTAAAAAAATAAAAAAAATTGCAGCCAAAAGGAGACGGAGAAAATCTGGGATTCCCCTATTACAGCCAATGGTCTTTGCATCTTGGACCAGAAACAAACATAAGCAGAAAAAAAAGAAAAAGAAATATGAGATAGCATTGAAGAGACTGAAGTGAGAAGATTTGCATCAATGGTCTTTGCATCAAACCCACCCTATTACAGCCAATGGTCTTTGCATCAAACCCACCATTTTCCTTCCATTTTTCTTGTTCCTATTTCCAAGAGAGAGATTGAAGTGAGAAGATTACTTGAAATATGAGATAGCATCAGAGAAGAAGATGAATAGAAGAAGAAAGGGGCTCTAGAAAAAAAAGAAAAAAAATAAAAAGAGGAGAAAATCACAAAGACAGAAAGAGAGGAAGAGAGAAGAGAGAGGGGAAGAGAGAGAAGAGAAGAAACTGGTGAGAGGAGACGTTCTCGCCGAGAGAAGAGAGAAGAGGCGTGTCTCTGGAAAAGACTTGGATTCTAAACCCACATCTGGGCTTGGGTTCTGGAGCTATAGTTATTTGGGACATGGATCTCATGCCCATATCCAATCCAAGACTAATTTAAGCTCACCAAATAATGGCTAGAATCCATGTTCATTTTAATTGAAAATATCAAGTACAGTCCAACCTACCAAACAGAGCCTTAGGAATTCAAAAGACAGAGTTATGACATCTGTGATATTAATCTAAACTACGCATGAAAAAAAAGATATTAATCTAAACTACGGGAATGAGGATTAGAACTCAGGTGCAGAATAGATAGCAGATCCGCTCTAACCAACTTGGCTAAGCCCATATCTGTTATCACATGTGAACTTTACTGCTGCACAACAAACCTAATAACATTTTAACTTCCAATAAGATGCTACAAGTGCAATACAAAATTGATTTTAAATTAGATTACGATATTCGTTTCAAATTTTCTGCAGTTGGCCCAAAACTAAAGCCCAATAATAAAAATGAAGAAAAAGCCCAGAGAAATAGAGATTCAGAACAGACAAAAAAAAACAAGAACATATATGCGAGTGACTGAGTCAACAGTCACCATTCACCAACCATCAGCAGTGACAAGAAGTCACCAGAGACCAAGTGAGACGACACAGAGCGAGCAAGAGAGAGACATAGCGATGGCTTGGTGTGCGGCGAGGAGCTTACACTTGCCGACGATCGACCTGGGCGCATTGCGCACCCGGGCTCCGTTAGCCGTGGGCGTGGGCTTTGCTTCGGCGGCTGGCTCCACTTTTTGGCGATCCTCGGCTTCATCGAATCCCTCTTCGCGCTTCGCTTGCTTAGCCATTTCCACTGACGCTCGTAATCTCCGTTTGTTTTTGAAATTTTATCTCTTTTGATTTTTGTTCACTAATTAGTTTTCTCATTTCGCTCTGTTTGGTTGCTTGGATTAGAAAGCCGGCCTAGGCTGTTCCTTTGTTTGGTTGTATAAGCTGGTTCTCGCTTATGGAATTTCCTTTTGATGAATTTTAGATAAAAAGATTCAAACTTTGCCTATGAATTTAACATGGGTAAGTTTTGTTTGGTTTGATTAGGAATCAAGGAAGCTGTTCACACAGACAAGGCCCCGGCTGCATTGGGACCCTATTCTCAGGCCATCAAAGCCAACAACTTTGTCCATGTGTCTGGTGTTCTTGGTCTGATTCCCGAGGTTTGTTTCATGACGTTATGTTTTTCCTCGTCACTTTAATCCATCAATGTTCCTATCCTCGTACCCACATACATCAGATAAAAACTTATGTTTTGTGTTCAAATGCAGACTGGGAAGTTCATATCTGAGAATGTTGAAGATCAGACAGAGCAGGTATTGTTAATGGCTTGTACATGTCTTACTATGTTCTGATGTATTAGGTATAGTTGTGTGGTTTATTTTTGGATTTAATATAATCATAAATCTGTTATTATTTTTTTGGGATTTGTTGGTGATATGTTCCTTGATTTTTTTACTGCTGTCATGCTGTAACCTTTAAACCAATTAACTTCCTCATGATTTAGAAGTGAAAGTTGGAGAATTTGGTGGTTGTGGGATCTTACATTACTGATCAGTCCACTTGGTACCTCTGCAGAATTTATAACAGTTACTGTCTCAATTGTTCAGAAGTTAAAAACAAAATATTTGATATTTGTTTTTCTGTGCAACATTGCAACCAAAGCTTATCCTAATGTTTTTCACAAACCTTCATGAAGGAGAAGTTGCATTTCTTATCCTAATTTCTATATAGTTAACCTGTTGTGTTGTGAACTCATAAGCGAGGTAGTTATGTTCTTTTGTTTCATCATCTTTGCAATGGAGTATAGATGATGGCATTGGTTGTCTGACTGTTTCTGACAGATTTGGGCTTATGAAACTATTGCAGGTTCTAAAAAATATGGGGGAAATACTGAAAGCAAGTGGCGCCAACTATTCTTCTGTGGTTAAAACGACAATTCTGTATGGATCCATTTTTTCTTTGCTCAATTTTGATTTTTAATTTTATTGTTGGAGATGCAATTTGTTCTTTCTTATGTTCATGCAGGTTGGCTGACTTGAAAGACTTCAAGAAAGTCAATGAGATCTATGCTAAATGTGAGTTTTATGGAGATATAAATTTGATGCTGAAGATTGAATTTTTAATTTGTGTCATGCAAAATATGTATATAGCACAAGGTCTTCCAGCTTTGCAGGTCGTGTTTCATCCATCTGCCAAAACTATAAGGGTATCTTGGTACTCATAGGACTTCCATTACTACTTACAAAAAAGAGACTTGGATAGAATGCAGTTAACTTTAACACTCCAACTCCTCCTTTGCATATCTACAATATTTTCCCTGCTAAAGTTTGCACGTGATTACTCTGTCAAATTTTATAGTCTAGAACACTTGAAGCATGACTGTTGGTTGGTGGTGACACAATCCTTTATTTTGCTCAACTGGTCTTTGAGTCTTTCATTATAAAGTTATGCGAAACATGCTGGTGACAACCATTATACTTATTCATTCAACTTGTCTTACATGGTTTTGTTTTGCAGATTTTCCGTCACCAGCCCCAGCTCGTTCAACATTTCAGGTAGCAGCATTGCCATTGGATGCCAAGATTGAAATTGAGTGCATTGCAGCACTGTAACCTCCTAAATATACATTTTCTTAGCAGAAACTTAGATAATAATGTAGGAGGTGGCATCTTTGAACATTGCGTTTGACTTGTTTATTTCCACCCCTTGCACATTGTTGTTATTGTAACATCGTTTCTCAAAAAGCACAGCCGAGTATTTTGATATTAAGATGGAACTTTTCACCCCTTCAAATTTACTGCTAATATTAGGTGGTTATTCTATTGTAATCGCAGTGTGAAAGTGGCTATTTTGTGATGATGCATATGTCTCCGCCAAGAGACAATCTTGTATCCCTTTCACATGCCAGTTATGTGACAAGTTGTGTACCAGGAATTTTCTCTTTTGGAAATACTGGCAAGGGACACTCAGTTGTGTCTTTGACCTCTGTTGGAGGTCACCACCATTTATAAATCCATGGCTTTCCAATCATCCTCAAAACTGAACAACCAAACAACTGAGCTGAATATTTCCACACCAAAGCCCTTTTTTTTCTTTTCTTTAAATAATGTTTTAATGGCAAATAAAGATCACAACGAGAATCCCCATAGATTCCTAAACACGAACTTCCTTTGCAAGCTCGTTAGCCACTAAATTTGTTCTTTTCTGTACGCATATCAAACTAAAATTTTCCAGACAATTATCTTGCATAAGCTTGATTGACACCTTCACCAGACAATTATCTTGCATGAGCTTGATTGACACCTTCAATAATAATGTCTTTCGATCCTTCTGTTGTTAAATTGTATCGATTCTCAACCCCTCCAATCAAATTACTTGCTCTTACTTTCGGAGTTGCATAAGTTATTTATATTTAATAAATTGTGTACCTTATGAGTTTGAATTATCTGATAAAACATGGTTAATTTGAAAGCCTTAAAACTGTTTAGATTAGGTCATCTCCAACCATAAAAGACTAAACTTAATTTTTCACCTTTCAAAATACAACTACTCATGTATTACCCGGACTCAAACACTTTTTTCCTCCAACCACTAGGGGGTCCTTTTTTTTTTTTTTATATAATAATATAAACAAATAGTGCAGCCGCGCGGCTATACTCAGTGTTTTTATTTTTTATTTTTACATAGTATCGCCGCTCGGCTATACTGTTTTACACGTGGCGCCAACTCGCTAGAAGGAAACTCTATTTTTTTTTTGTAATAATTAGTATAGCCAGACGGCTATACACTGTTTACAAGTGGCGCCTACTAGCTGGACGGATCCTCTTTTTTTTTTTTTAATAATAAATAGTATAGCCGCGAGCTATACTTGGTTTTATTAAGAATAGTATAGCCGGGCGGCTATACCTTTTTCGACACGCGGCGCCAAGGCGTTGTGTGGCTACTCTTTTTTTTTAAATAAAGAGTATAGCCGCGTGGCTATACCCGATTTTTTAATTTGTTTATATATATATATATATATATATATATATATATATATATATATATATATATATATATATATATATATATATATATATATATATATATATATATATATATATATATATATATATATATATATATATATATATATATATATATATATATATATATATATATATATATATATATATATATATATATATATATATATATATATATATATATATATATATATATATATATATATATATATATATATATATATATATATATATATATATATATATATATATATATATATATATATATATATA